CCTTTGTCTAATTACATAGGACATCATTTTCACCCAAAAACATAAAACACAGACTGCTTATGAAATTTCTTGAGCACATAAACGGTCCAGGGAGGGAATCATCTTATCTCGTCTTATACACCATGAGTCTTCCTCTAGGGTCAAACTAAGACCAGATTTATATATATGTGTGTGTGTGTGTGTGTGTGTGTGTGTGTGTGTGTGTGTGTGTGTGATCTAACATTTATATATGTGTGTGTCATCATCATGGCATTTATAACATCCTTTAAAATAGGATACAAAATGTTGGTCTTGAGATATTCAGTCTAGAAATGCAGGCTCTGGGTGATCGAGCCCCTGAATTGGGAAACAGCAGTCTATTCTAGTTTTTATGACTTCCTATACATCATCATCCATTTGACTGGCTGTGACTTTCCAGCTGTCATAAATAGCGATTGATTCCAGTCTGGTTGCTTCATGTCTTGGATTCTGCTGCAGACTGATTTATGAGTAGGAGTATAGCCAAACCGCATTTGTATGTCATCTTAAGTGTGACATGAGAGGAACATAATTGGAATTTGTTACCTGCCATGTGATGCACAATACCTACTGATGGAGCAGGAATTGGTAATTCTTCATTGTTTTATGTATGCAGGGAAAAAAAGGACACCAACATTCATGGTCAGCTTTGGGTTCTTCTGTAAATTGTGTAAAGTCAAATTTATGGATTCCATTTCTCCACTAAGCAACAAACTTGAAAAATGTTAAACTATCGCTCAAACTAGTGAAAACTCTCTCAGATGTGATCATCTACAGTTGGGCTTGGTGTATCAGATTCCTTCAGTAATGGATGTCCAAGGAGAGGAAAATATTTTTTTAAAAATGCTTGTAAAATTAAGTAAAAATGTATAAATCAATTGTACTCAAAACTGTAAATCATTAATAAATGAAATGTGAATCTCTGGATTAATAAAATAAATGATTAATCCGGAGATTCACATCACAACTTAATAAATTAATACTTTTTTTAAGTGACAGTATAAAGAAGGATTATTTGGTCCAGTGTGTAACATTTAGGAGGATCTATTGGCAGAAATATATATGATATAATTTCATTTTCATTAGTGTATAATTACCTGAAATTGTTGTGTTTTTGTTACCTTAGAATGAGCTGTTTTATCTACAGAGAGAGCGGAGGCCACATGTTGAACCACCATGTTTCTACATGTGGCCCATAAACCTAAACCAAGCCCTTCAGAGTTTCGCAGCAGTTACTGTTTCTGCTTGTTGGAAGGCTGAACTGTTTTCAAATGGTTGCACCGCCAGATGCCACTAAATCCTACACACTGGTTTCAGCATCCTGATTGGGAAAAATCTAATAGTTCCTCTAATATTTGGCAGTATTAATGACAGAAACCAACTAACTGTAAAATTACATTACATAAATGTTATACTGCAGTGAAAGAAAGGCCTTTCTTAGACCTGCTTTGCAAGCGGTCAAACACAATCTTATTTTATGGTGACTCAAATCTGATTTGAGCGAGAGACAGACAATGCTGTGGCTTACAAAGAATGTAAACACAGAGAGGGAAGCTTCAAATTGGCCCGGAGTCTCCTGGAGAATAATTAATGTGACATTTCCCTGACATTTAGTCGGAGGTATAGTGGAGGAGCCTGAAGAAGGGAAGGAAGGAAGCAGAGATATGAGCCAGTGAGGAAAAAGAGAGACAGGAAGGATAACAGGGCCGAAAGAACACAGGCAGCAACACTAGATTTTTCCCTGAATATCTTGACAAAGATTGCAGCTACTACTAGCTTCCTTGTGTTGCTCTGTAGGCATCAGAAAATAAAGGAACTAAGTAGAAGTGCGATTACACACACATACACACACACATACATACACAGACACACACACACACACACACATACACACAAAAACACAAATAGACACTCTAATGTTCAGTACCCACTCCTTCAGTGATGATAAAATTATACTTTTGTTGCTTGGTAACCATTTGTTTTGTGCTCATCTCTAACATTCACCATCTGTTTAAAGGCTGTTACACATACATTTCCATTTCTGACCCGGGATAGGAGTGCACAGCTGATGAGCTGAGACTGGGGCAGTCTGTGGTCGAAGCTGGACCACTCAACAAGCCCACAGTTTGTTCCAGCCTATTAAAAAATGACTTAGACAATACATCAACCCCTATCATTGCTTTTAGTAATTTGGTCTGTGGTTTCACATTGCCCTTTTAAGCTAATTAGGAATTGATAAACTCTGCGTCTTGCTGTGTCAAGGTTGCCTCTTTTTTCTGGCCCGCCATCCTCCGCTGTAGGCTTATAATGAGGCCAAACAAAGAGATGATGAACACTTTTTTAGTGGTACAGTAATTACTGCGTCCACTCATCAATTTGTGGTTATTGAGAGCTCTAAATCAGCAGGAAGCAATATGTATAAGCACTTTGCTGCGTCATTTTCCAAAGCAAAGAGCACCAAACTTGGTTAAGCACTTCAAAACTGTTCTCCAGTGATATTTTGATAAATCACAGATATCAGGGTACGATACGATAATGGAGACAACAGTCAACTTGGAGTGGTTATCTCCTTTTTGTAGGCTACAGCACTTTCTTAGCTCTAACACAATAAACATTGATTTTACATCTCTTTGATTCCTATGAAGACGATATTCCACCGACAGACACGCAGCACTCATCTCAGTCTGTTTGTAGGGTAGCGCTGACGGATCTCACAAATCATCACCGCAAAGCATCAGCCTGCAAAAACTACTAATAGTTTCATTTCCATTTACTAAACGTTTCCCAAACAAGGCGTTCTGCTCCCTCTTAAAACAGTGTTGGAAAGAGACAGCATCCTCTGATCCTTCCAATCCAATCTAGAAAAGTGTGATCAAAGGCTGCTCATGTTTAACACTGCTGTGGTCTCCTAGGGTGCAGTTGCAGGTGTGGCTCTCTGAAAGGACCTGCTGTGGGCCAACTCTGCCGTTTTTCCCCAGCTAAAAGAAGTGAGCACACCTGATAGAAGTCAGCGCTCTCATGTAATGTAATGTAAGCATAATGAACTACTAATTATTTAAATATTCCATCTATGTTTAAATAAATTTTTTTATTACAATCGGATAAACGTAAAATTATTTGTAAACTAGGTGCCTTTTTGAAGAATGTCCTTCACTTGTTTAAGTAACATTTTTTGTACTTTAGCCTAGCTGTGTGCTTTCATTTTGTTATTACTATATATTCTATTTATGCTCCATACCATGTGATCATGATCATGAGTTGCTAATGAATGAATGAATGAATGAAAGGAAATAATGTGCAGTAGGGTGAGGACCTTAACGTCATATTATGACTGCAGGCATTCAACGCACGTTATTTTCCAACAAAATCCAGTGTTACATGATTATTTAACCAAATAGTGCATAATATTAACACACAACAACATTAGTTTTAAACTCTAGCAGCTGCTGTGCTGTCACATTTCTTTTCCCTGAATTCCTCACTAATAAATAGCTTCTGTATGGTCTGACTGCTTTCTAATCGTGATCTTAACTGATTCTGCTTTTCTAACATTTCTCTCTTGCTCCAGTTGATTATTACAATATGTGTGTTAATGACATGTCATAACCACCTTCTATTGATCAAAAAGGTCTCCTCCCAAGAATTGATTAACCCAAATGACTCAGACAATCCTAAATAATTTCTGACTGGTTGTTCATGTGCACAAAGATATAATTCAATATCCCAGCCTCCCGCAGAATATCTCAGATTCAATTGACTCAGAATGATGCAGGGTGGGGTTGTCACAAACATACAAGTAGCAGAATGAAACCAAAAGAAATTTCTTCAAGAGTCAAATATGTATTTTAATGTAGCAAGCGAGGTCAGCTAAGTGATTTTTAAGTGATGTATTGGTACATTAGGTCAGAGTGCGTGCCTGGGTGATTTTCATTTGGGCATCTGTGTGTTTAAAAGTATTTTTTTTCTGTAGTGACGAACAGATATAGTATGTTTAGTGTAGTGAGATAGTGATATAGCAATGGATTAACAAGAGCATTACAGGAAATACAGATAATGAACCTTGTGTCATGCTTTAGAGATGGTTAATAGCGATGCATCCAGAAAGCCACTTTCACTGTTACCAAACACATCTGACTGTTAAGACATGCTTTTTCTACTTCTTGAACAGCGATAATGGCAGATAATAGCTCACACATCCCGCATTGATAAATCACATCCACTGGCTTTTTCTTTAATTTCCATTCTTTACTTTGTGTTCCAAACTTGGAAGTAATCACCAAAGCACAACACGCAGGTGTCCTGATTGACCCATTTTGTGCAACTGTCAATGGATTTTAAAATGTGTTAGTAGGTCTAAAAAGCCCATGGTGAATTTTCACTGGTGCAAAACTTTTGTTTTCCTCTGTAAGTAATGGCAATTATCTATGTTTGGTTGCCACACGTTACCCACACAGAACACAGTGCACAATCACATAACGGTTGTGGCATTTTATTGCGAGCTTATAAATAAAGATTCTGTTGTCTAACAACTACAACAGTACAACATCACATGTTAGTTCATTTCAAAATGAACTCACAAATATCCAAACGCACATTAATTGCCTTGGGAGAGCGACTATGTCATATATCAATATGTCAAAGTATGACACACTGTAAAACAAGACTTAGAGTCTACAGCCATGCTAGCGTCTCTGTGAGGCTGCAATTAGGCAAAGTGGTGCTTTGAGCTGAATGCTAATGTCAGCATGCTAACATGCTCACAAACAACTACTGGACAAATGGAAATTTGGATCTGAGGATGGCACTCGAGTAAATGTTGGGGATCAGAATGCATCCTAAGAGGGATATTAATGTGTGTGGAATTCTATGGCTATCCATCCAATGGTTGTCAAGACATCCCAGTAAGGGGATAATCAAAGACAGAAATGGCCATGGGCCAATCACAGACTCATCTCTTACACCCAACATCCAATGACAATTACCTTTGCTGCAACAGATGAGCTGGGCTTTTCCAGGAGGTCCCAAAGCTTCTTTCGTTTTTCAGCACAGCAAGTGTTGTCAAATTCTTCTCCCTCTCTGTCTTTCATATTGTCAGCCTCTCTTTTCAGCTCCTCATTCATTTGCTCCTTTTTCTGGTGGTACCTCGCCTGGCAACATGACTCCAGGTAGATCTCATCAATGCCCCAGTAGTCAAGTTCTTGACTAAACGACAGGGCGCACATCTCTTCCATCATGTGCAGCTTACCCGTGCGGTAGAAGTTCAGAATTGACGTGAACGCCCCTGGATGTCGGTCAAAAAAGTATTCGTTCTCCTCGAGGTTGTAGTCATCGCACACTTCCATCAGAGATTCATGGGTGTTGCAATCTCTTAACTTTCCCAGACGTGTTCGTGGTAGTCTATCTAACGTTCGCCACAAGACTTCATGTGGGAGACCCCCAACATTCAGCCGGACTCTGCGAAAACATGACTTGCTGCGAATGATGTCCACCGGTTCAGGTGGCAGGGATGATGTTGAGCGAGAGCCAGCTTTGTTTAACTCCGTCAAGGATTTCTCCATGATGACTTTAGGTTCGAGGAAGGAAGCAAACATCCAGGGCTATGGACTACAGTTTTTCCTGTTTTCTTTCATTATTGTATCTAAAGGATTCAGAAAAACAAAAGAAATCATTAGTACTCTTTATCCCCAGATCAATCATCAGACTCATTGGATGCTTTTGCCTCCTCAGGCCTCTAAAAAATCTTTAACGTCCAACCAACCAGATTATGTCTGTGATGAGGGGTCACAAGGCAAAAAGATTGGAAACCACTGATTTCAAGCAGCGTTTTTCAACCCTGCCTCTACCTGGTTTGTCATGCTAGTTCCTCATTAGAGTGCTAGAAAATTGGCAAGGAACTACAGGGTCCTGAAGACCAGATTACAAAATAAAAAATCAAAATAAAGGGCTCAAGGCTCGTGAAATAAATGATAGATTAAGTATACTATCGTTTCAGGGTATTTAATTCCTGTTACTGTTATCACCACAGCTGCAGAATCACTTTATTTGAATTCTTTTTTATGAATTCTTCTCTAAATTCTTTTCTTAATCAAAAAATGTACAATTAGATGGGAGTTTTGATGAGACTTCTTTTCAGAATTGAAAATCACTGGTTTAAAAGACTCCAGGACAGCGAAATAAAGTACAGATAAAATGTATTATTACTATTATTATTATTTCATGATATTTCACCACTGATTACTGATATCACGTCCTCCTTGAATTTCTTTTTGTAGTCTTCAGATGTCTCCCACCTATTAGGAGTTAACAAAGGAAAAAAAAAGTTCCCACCAAAAGTTTTAAACCAGTGAAAACCAGTAAGAAACCGCAGGGAGAATATCACTGAATAAAAATAATTAACAAGTAAATTGTATTATTATCTCTGGAAATGTCACTATGAATTACTATTATCACATAATATAGTACTATCTTTTAAAAATTATTTTTGAATCAACAATAAACGTACCCTCAGATGGGGGTTCTTGAGATGACTCATGCATGCAGTATCAGGAGTTAACAAGAGGGGAAAAATGGAAGCTTGACTTAATATTGTCATCATCTCAACCAGGATGGAAACTTCATTGAATTTGATTTCCCACGACATTTCGCAAAAACTTTATCTAACTGCTTTAAAACGTACGCAGATTGAAACCCAGCATGGAGCTGCAGGGCCCTAAGGACCAAAAAGGGAACATCACTGGTATAAACAGCTCCTGGACAGAGAAATGTTGGATTTTCACTCATCACTTTGTTATCATATTAGCTAATTAGATTCATTTTGAATTTTTTAATCAACAATAAATATACCCTCAGATTTGGATTCTTGAGATGACTCACACCTAATAGCAGTCCACAGAATCATAGATTTCGATTTGGGGTTAGAAAGAAAAAATACTTGGGAACCATGACAAATAGCTTTAAAATAACATCTTCTGTAATCAGCTGATGGAAAAACACCTTGTTGAACACAACGACCTCTCACCAAAACTTTAAAACCGACTTGCATTGACTTATTATTTCCTCTGTAGTGGCTGATTAAATATTATTACCATTCATAAAATACTTAATTACAAAACTTCTCTTGTGATTTATCTGTAGTAGCTAGTTTGGGTTGTTTTGGTTGCTGTGCCGCCCATACAGAGCTGTGGGTGGGGACGCAGGACAGACACCACAGTGGCGAGTGTGGTACAAAGTGAGCGCTGTCCACTCTAATGGTGCTGAAACACCAGGAAGCGCTGTTCACTCCCTGAATCACGGCGAGCTCCCTTGGGGAGGGAGGGCTGACTCCGAGACGACAATATATATATATATATATATATATATATATATATATAACCTGCGCCTTCTCCTGACAGAGAGCCCAACATTTTTTTTAATTTTTTTTTTTTTATCCATTTATGACTGTAGACGGCGACACAAGCTGTTACATTTTACACGCTGTTCATTTTGTTTATGTCTGGAGCCCAACAACATCACCTCGGGCCTGCAGATGTGACCATTGATCACTGTCACACAAAGTTTCTAATACTTTTAGACACAAACACAATTAGGCCTAAGCAAGATGTCAACATGCATTACACATACAACACAAAATATGAAACGACAATGTGGTATTGAGGATGTAGACAGTGTTATGTCAGCTTCTGGACATGCAGTAACAGGCTGCGGGGAGGAAGAAATGTTAATTTGCAGGAGCCTCCACCCTCCTGTTTCATTCAATTCAAGGCTTCGATAAAATAATTCAGCATTAAACGCGCCACTAAAACAAACAGTATTTCCCCCTGTGCACACACTGCGCAGATAAAATGAGAATGAGAATAAGCTCAGGGATATTCAATCATTTACAACTGCAATGTTGTGAATGCAAACGCTCCATCGTTAAGCATTTCTCTGTTTTTTCAAAGGCTGCCTGCTCCATATTGGTGCAGTTTTAAAGCAGAGTAATCCCACACATGCCACTGATTGGCTAATCTATAACAAATGATAGGTTACATATGATTCAAAAATGGAAATAAGCTTTAAAAAAATACCGTAGTGAGTTGTTGTCATCCTGCACTGAATCAAACCAGCACGCACCGCTCTGTGAACGATCAACCGCTGGCACAAACGGGAGATGAAGCAGTAGCATTTTTTTTTTTTTTTTTTTTTTTTTTTTTTGAAAAAAAGGAGGCGCCGTTATTGGTTTACTATTGCCAGGGTCTAACCCAATCCATTTCCCCCTCCTCTGCCGCCTCCGACATGGCAGAGAGATCCTCCTCAGCACGATCTACTGCCTCCCCGCCGGCTTCCTGCTCCGCATATCGCACCGCTGTTTCTCCAGGAGATCAACAAGTATGCCGACAGCCCGTTCGGACAGACTACCTGTGTTTCCCAGTCAGCTGTGTGAGGAGGCAGGCGCCGCATCTCTCTGAAGGTGGATCCATGGCAGCTCAGAAGCTCCTTTCCACATCTCTTTAACTCTTTCAGCACCGCGCCTTGACGCCTGGGTGTATAGTAAAAACAAGACTTGTGTGCCCAAGTCTGTTTCTCTTGTTGTGTTAAAACCAGGGTGTAATACTGTCAGCTCATAAAGATGAAAAGAAAAGCATGATGTAATGATAGTGCACATAGAATGATGGATAAATATAGGCCTGTGTATGATCTCAGGTCATGTGATTTGAAGGCACAGAGCCAACAAAAAAAAAATCAATGATAGTGTTTAGAGCAAAGGATTTAAACAACCTTCTAATATGGGACATAAGTCAATGTAATGCTTTCATTAGATGAGGGTATAGGTGTGCCCTCCACTTATCTCCATATACATATAAGAAGTGGTAGAGTGAGTATTCACATTCGGCTTTTCTGTAAGCAGTTACAAGCCAAAAGGGGGAACCTCTGGTTCCATCTTTAACAGTGCTTTGTTTTTTCTAAGCCTATGTTTTATTTATGTGAAATTTTCCATCTAAATGTAGAGGAGCAGAAAGTAGCACACAGAGGGAAAAGTCAAGTAAAGTATAAGGACCTCAAAATTGTACGGTACTTAAGTGCAGTACTTGAGTAAATGCACTTATTGGTGAATTAACTCTTCTACCATTTACACATAAGAAGCAACTCAACATTTTTGATCCCGCATTTTGTTAACGATCCCTTCCAGACATGTTTTAAGAGTCAACATTAAAAACAAACAAAATAAATCCCCCTTTACCTCACTGAAAGATACATAATCTATGAATATGTATATTTAGTGTTGATGGGAGATACAAGATGCCTCCCACTTAACTCTCTCTTTAGGTCCATTCACACGGTATTTGTACATTTCTGTGAGTTGCAAACTGGACGTTCATGCTTCCAAACTAGCTGTGATGAGACAAAATCCTCCCAACGTCCTCTCTTCAAGCAGCTCATGTCAAACTCTGCACATACATCGTTCTGCAGGTCAAACATCTAAGTGGAGAAACTATAAGTAAATCCTATTTTTGAGTGGAGGGGGGACTTTAGCCTACAAATTTTCAACTAGATGGAGCCCAAAGGCAATTTGAAGTCAAAAATGTGTCAGGTTTACTTTGTTTTTCCTTTTTTATTGAAAATATTAATAACAAACACATTTAAATATGATATATAGATGCACTGAGTAAATATAACAGAATAAATAGTGCAAAAGTACATACGATTAAAAGGTTTATCAAACCAAATTTCTTTTTACAGTTAATCAAATTATCAAGTTACATTTCATGCTGTGTCCTCTTCAGTCTGTATCGGACCTGCAGATCTCCATCCGGCTGTAGCATCCCAAAGCTGTAGCGACTGGGATTAACTGGTGGTAGCTTTGCCTCCGGGTCGCACATCTCCAGATCGAGATGGGTCAAGAGCAAGAACACAAATCTACAGACAGAAGCAGCAGAGTATTTTAGAACAGGCGACACACCAGCCACTGATAAACAGGACTCATTAGACAATATTAATATGAGCAAAGGCAGGTTTAAATAAAAAAGCAAAATGCCACAAAAAAAAAACTGATTCCCAGTCTACACATCAATATTAAGTAACCAGCTGTTAAAGATTACAAGGATTGACCTTTAACCTTTGTAATTAGATATGACTCTCCCAACTGACTGTCCTCTATTGCCCTTAGCCTCTTTTGTACAGTTCACTACAGAGTATAAGCAATTACTATATTACAGCTTGTTGCTAATGATGATAGAGGACATGAAAGTAGGACTGAAACGATAACAGGCGGAATATTATGTGGAGATGGATTTTGCTGGTTTGGTCTGGTAATCAGGATGAAATTGCAGGAAATGCTTTGATCGTGAGTGTACATCATGGAAAGATATAAATCAAAAAAAAAAAAAGGATTTCTACACTCACTGTTTAATGGCTGTAACCGCAAACTCTCTCCCAACACACATGTTTCTCCCTGCACCCCAGGGCATGGTATGGTACTTCAGCCTTTTCCCATCCTTGTAGAATTTATCCTTCACTGTCATATCATCATTTAAGAAGCGATCATACTTGAAAATCTGTTCAGAAGAGACAAGAAAAAAAAATGAAGGAATGAGTTTGATGCGTGCCTTATAATATTACAATCATGTGTCTCCTAATACATATTTTCTGTTAAAAAATAATATGCAAATATCACCACTAACCACTGAAGACAAACAAACAGTGTAAACATTGGGAATTGATCTCGCTCGCTTGCTAGTCAACTAGTTGTGTAATTTGGAGTCATTTAGCAGCTTATCCCAAAGGATGCATTTCACATCAGTGATTTAAAACACACTGCTTAATCCTGTGCACCATAATATGGCTTAGAAATATCACAATGAAGGTACACAAGTGTATGTACAATGATGATGGAGGCTCCATTTCCAATGCTTATCACAGGAACTGTTGTATTTTCATGTTGCTGTGTTAGTACACTCTGGGCCTGCACACAAAAGTACCTGTGGTTCTTGGTGTATCTGTGGGTCCATTTGAGGGCTGAGAAAAGGGAAAAGACACACTTTGTCCCCCCGTCGGAGGTGGTAGTCCTGTCCACTGGCCATGCGCAGGATCTTGTCCTGCACCACCTCTCTGCTGATCATTACAGCAGCGGTGAGCCGTAGGGTCTCACTCAGAACGCTATCTGCAGAATGGAAAGGACAGCAAAGTGGATGATGTCAGACGGGTGTCAGCGTGTGTTAAATCAGCAGCACCCTCAAGCGTAATTTGGAGAGGTACAAATATTTGCACAGATGTGATTATATGAAAAAGGCAATCATTATTTAGTTGAATCAAAGGTCAAACTTTTATTGTCACTGTCATTGCTTCGGTATGCTGCACTTATCTTGTTATTTCCAACAAGTCAAATGAGCCTTTGTTTCCATCTCACTGGAGTGGCTAAACCCCAAGTTGGAAGAGCTCAAGTGAATAAGGCTGCTAGCAGCTGTTACGTACCAAGCACAGGTGTGCTGTGTGCTTCCAGTGGGTTGATGTGGGGATGCTGTAGGGAAGTGTCCTGGAGAGTAAGGCGACTGATCTCTGATTTAACAGCGTCCATGGCCTCAGGGTGAGTGAGCAGGAAGCCAAGGAGCCAAAAGGCAGCAGGTCCAGCATTACACTGAAAGAAGTAACACCCAACTAAGCACAGACTCAAGCTTTTATATAAACAAGTAGGAAAAACTGAATAAAATTCAGTGTATGTTTTGTATATGTGTACATTAAATGTCTATATCATAGAAATACGTCTGACTTTACTTTTGGTAATATTTCAACTAATATTCTCTCTCAGCTCTCTGTAATGCTGTCTGAATATGACTTATATGAGGAGAAGACAGTGAATCAGTCCACACTTTGTAGAGACTGCTGTCAGCCTCTCGGGAAGAGGCACCTGAGCCTGTCAGACAGTAATTGCTGTGGGTTAAGGGAGCTGTTCTTCTTACCTCTGCACATCTCAGGTCAACTCTCCATTGACAACCAGGGCAAATGGCCCAAAGCGACTAAGGGTGCATCACAATGTGTTTTTTTTTGCCATCTTAGATCTTCAGATCACTAGGTCTGATGCTTCAGATAATGATGTGTCTGGTTACTTTAACAGCAGCCGGTTATGAATTTTTAGAGTAATACTTTGGCATTTCTTAAAATATGCTTCAAGAGTTATATGAGAAGATTGATACCACATGCATGTCTGTGTGATACATGTGGTTACTGTAGTGTAGTTTTTACACCTCAGTTTTTGTGGATTAAACAAATGAGATATATTGTAGGCATTTTTGTTACTTTTGGACAGAGTCAGGTTAGCTGTTTCCCCCTGTTTACAGTCATTATGCTAAGCTAAGCCACCCTGCTGCTGGCTCCAGTTAAATATTTAGTGTATAAGACTTGAGAAAGGTTTCAGTCTTCTCAGCTGAACCCTTGTAACTCAATATAAAACTACTTCTTTAGGGTAAAACTTGATTGATTTTCAACACAGTGACTTTCTCCATTACATTAAAATAACCAGTGTGGGTGTACAGACACCACAACACATTAAATCACCATCCAAATAAGTTGATATATGTTTCAGTAAATAACTTCCATTGTTTGCAAAAGGAAAGAGAACAGCAACACCAACATGTGCAGGAGGGTCCATGATTAAGTGGTAGGTGTCTTTAGTGAAATCCTCACATCAGGCTCTGAAATATCTCAGTCTGCCTGTAAAACATGTATAAGCCATATTCACTGTAGCACGTCTCACTACTCTCACATCTAATCCCTCTATTCTCTGCAGTGTTGCTCCAGTTTCCCCCTTCCAGACTGAGACTGTGTGCTTCAATATCCCAGCAGACATGATAAAGCACAAACAAACATACTCAGTCTTTCCCAAACCAGAAGAGCTTCTGAGAGAGCCCGCAGTGGGTGGCCTGGCAAAAGGGTTTCTCCTTGCTTAAATACTGTACACTGGTGTGACTGGGTGAACAATTGCTGTTCCAGCGAGACTGACAGATTGTCAGAGGGCTGGAGCTATCACTGTTAAAATGTAGCATATGAGAGCAGACAGTGAAGACAATGAAACAGCCTGCTATCTCCCCCACCTGGCAGCACAGAGCAATGACACCATGTTGATCTGAACTTTTTCTGGACCAGGTGGAGCTGAGGAAGCAACAATTCTGTATTCACTCATGGGTCAATATTGCGCACTTTGGGCACTGTAGCTATTTGAAACTAAAGAAAAGAATAACATTTGACATGAAGATTTATTAAGAGTTAGGGATTAATCCAAAGTAAAGACAAACTATCCCAAGAGTGTTTTATATACTGTATTTAAACATCCTATGCCTACAGGTTAGACCACAACTCCAGTGCACTGTAGTCAGCAGTAAATCTGACAGAACAGTTAAGTGCCTGAAACGATGCGGAAAAGAGGAAGTAACTTCAGCTGACTAACACAATTCCTTCACGCACTGTATTAACCTGTAATTAGTAAACCTCAATGTCACAGAAACTGATTCACCTGATAAAAACT